CACACACAGTGCTGCTGCAGGTATACATAATACGGAGGTACGAGCAGACATTATTAATATTATACGAGAGACGTATAGAGAGAGCCGCATTCCTCATCATTATACAATACACCTAATGTAATATTAATAATAATAATAATAATACGTAACATAATCGTCGGATATTTAATAATAATCGATACTCGGGCGCGCGCGCGCGTTGACCGTGGTATAATAATGTGGTATCGGCGGTAGTGGCGCGGTGACGAGTGTATGGTGTTTGGGGGTCAAACGGGTTATGATTCCGTGTGAGGTCTCGCGGACCCCTCGTCCCGTAGTTGCCTCATCTCATCGGTGCACGTCGTCCGGCCGGCCGCCACACAATTGTCCCGAAAAGCCCCGCGAGTGTCGGCCAGCCGGTGGGAACGCTGCGGCGGCGGTGGCGTTTGACAGGTTACAACTAGCTTTGGTGGTTAATGATGATGTTATATAGCGCCACAAGGACGAGATGGGATTCGGCGGCGTCGTGGTTTATACCCGTCACATATAGGTACCTACCTATGGAGGTACCTATGATATTATATATACATCCATATAACAAAAACGGAACGACGAACGTCGCCGAAGAGGTCGGAGTCGTCTCCGTCTGTTGATGTTGTTGTTATTATTATTATTATTATTATTTTTTTATTAATTTCTTCGACCAGAGTGACAGCTATGGCAGCAGCATCAGTGGCGGCGGCGTTTTTATATTATATAATGACGATTTAATAAAGCCCGTTTATACTGTCGCCGCCGCAGCCGCCACCGACACAACCCCCGCGGATCGTGAGAATATGCGCGCGGGCGGGCCGGCTCTCTCACAAACCTCAGTCGCCGGACTCGGTGTGTTACCTGCCTGTGCCGCTGACCACCGGTGTCCCCGCGAAAATATGTCAAAACGTGTTTTTGCAACGGGCCGACAGATTTTACGGACAATTTTTTTCGGAATCCTTTCGGCTCCGGGTGGCTGCCGCAGCTGTGTTGACAATGACACTCGAAATATTCCGAAATCCATTTAATCCGATTTGCGGTACGCGCATAAACGTACAATATAATAAAAATATTATGCGAGTGTGAATGTACGGGGCCGCGCGTAATCCTATTGGTCCGTTTATACGGCGACCCAACAATCCTATTTACACGAAACGCGTCGTCGAAAGGATTAAAAGTTCCACTCGACCGTGTTATAACGGAAGAATTTAATAACTCGATTTATTTTCTATACACGAATTTGTTGCGACCACACTTCGCGGGTTTGTTGAAACGTAGATAATCATTCATAATATAATACGCCTCCTAATACACGAGCATCAATTATAATACCTAAATAGTAAATACCGTATGGTAAATAAATTTCAAAAAAAAAACTAAGCGAATTCAATCTATTGTTTTATTGATTATACACACACACACATATTTTACATGACGTATGAAAGCTCTTTTCGTACAAAACTATAATAATATTATTTTTATTAATCACGAATTTTCTAAAAAGAATATTAAGATTGCCAAGAAACGAAAATCTATATTTATGCGTATTGCATCATACAACCCACAAGAAAAAAGTATTTTATTATATGAAGAAACATACACATACAAACACTACACGTAGCCACGTAGGTACCTATTATTGTATTATTTGACTATCAAAGAATACTTTCGTTTAAATTGCATTATTTGTATGAAACGTTTTTTTTCGACGTATTTGGATACTTTCAAAAACAGGTAGTCAAACGTTTTTTTCAAATTCCAGCACTTTTACTTAATCTTCAGGACTTATTGTTAACATCCTACAAGGTTTAAAAAATGGCCAATACTACAATGTTTACAACAACAAAAAAGATAATGCATACAAAAGACAGTTCAAATTTATTGTTACGCCCATAAATCGTTTTAAGTATATCTCTTTATGTTATTTTTCAATTGACATTAGAGAGGGCTTATTTCATTAAAAACCAATATAATATAATAAACCTCTTACCTACTGCGGTTTTGCATCTGAAGATTTTTTTTCTACGAAAAGCGATCGAATAAAAGTGAAATGTATATACCTATATGCATAGGTCTCTAATCCAGATTCGACATGCCAAAAGGTCAGGTTTTTATGTGAAGTAATACTTACTATAATGTATACTAAAGAGAGGTAATTCCGTTAAATACTTGTCACATAATAATATATTATGAACATTTTTCACGTATTTTTTTTTTGAGAAACCAATCTACCTAAACTACCACCTACCTATATAATGAACAACTCTCACTTTTTTTTTATATACGCACTGTTTAGTCTACTTTTGGGGTCGTAATTCAAAAACGCATTTACCGATATATCATATTATATATTATTTGAAACGTATAAATACCTAACATTGCAACACCACACACGTGCGTTCCCGTGCTCTATGGCGCCTAAGTCTTGGTCGTTGTATACTCTATAGAGTAGGTATAAAATATAATGACCATTATAATGATACGTATGTACGAGCGGCGGCTAGGGAGTCGAGTAGGCGCGCGTAGGACGAACGCCATCGCGGATGCGCGTTGGCGAAACTGGTCTCCGGCGCAATGTACACACGTAATAATATTATTATATACCATTATATTATTGCATTATTATATAGGTACTAACGTCGTGCAACTGGCGACGCGTTACAGTAATAATAATACACGCCACAGCAAAACGGCCGCCACTCGCCAGTCACCAAATACATCAAAATATATAGGAAACGCGACTTCCCCCGTCGTCAATGTCGCTATATTATAGTACGATATTATGTTTTGATATACTACGTAATACAAAATAATATTATATTATATAGGCACACATTGTATCTGACCTAACCGCGATATCGTTATATCGGTTATGATAAAACAAAAAAAGGGTTACGAGCTAGCTGCATATATATAGGTACGAACGCACGACCGCGACCAACCCTATTCGTATAGTTCGGTACACCTATTATACGCATATGTGTATAATATAATATTATGTATATGTACGTGTTTACCACACGCACAGAAGCAAATCAATCAAAACGAGCGTTCGATCGATTTGTCCGGGCGTTCGGTCTCGTCGAATTTGTGACCAAGTTGTCGGGAGGAAGGAGGGGCGGACAAGGGCCGAGAGATAATAACGCTCTGGGCGTCAGGGATTTCTCGGAGAAAAGAAAGACGAGTGAGAGAGAGCAATAAAAAGAATATAAAACCATCCCGACGATTACTATAATATATGTATATAATATATTGGATATTTGGATACATATATACACGATACGATATTATTATATAATATTATGTATATATTATTATATTATATTATTATAATGTACGACGATAACTGCTGGAGGATTTTGTGGCCCGGGCCGGCCAGCACAGATCCGTATCTCGTCCAGACCGCTAATGACGCCATACGCGCGCGTTTAGATAATCTTATTATATTGTTATAATGCGAGTGTGTGCGTGTGTGTATACGACTGGAAGCACGCACACACAAGCACGGCGTATACCCGACGAATCTTTATTAGCGCCGCCGAGACCACCTACACCACCGATGACGATATATATGTATATACCTATTATGTAATATATCGTAGCAATATATAATAGGACGACCGTGTGTCACCTCCGAGTTGGGCAATTAATAATCCGATTTCGATTAATATATAGGTACCTACGCCCGCGCGCGCCGGTGTCGAGGGGTGCTGCGGTCGTCATCGTCGTCGTCGCAGTCGCCGCCGTCGTCGTTACCCGTTAAAACAAAACGTATACCTCTTTAATAATATTATTGACGTCGTCAATTTGATAAAAAAAAAATAAAAAATCAAGAAACGAGTTCATTTATACTCGAGTATCGGTGTACTGCGTAGGCGTAACTAGGTCTTTAAGTTAGGTGGTAGGCTGGAGTCCTGACATTTTTTGTTATGGCATAATCACCCTACATAAATAGTCACCCTATAAACACGGTTCTAACTTCTAACAGTATATATTAAATACTTTTTTATGGTGTTGGTTTATAAAATAACTAAGACAATAATGATTCTGGAATTTTTTTTTTTACTGTTTAGGTTGTACTTTTCTCAAAATGTTAAAAGTTGGAAAAAAAATAGAAAAAAAGTCAAATTTATGTGGGAGTGACTGCGTGTTATACACGGTTAAAAACATCTGGCAATAATAGGGTGAAAAGTATTCAAGTTTTTTTTTTAATCGCACCAAATTGACACAAAATTAAAATGTGTATGTGTATGTTTATTCACACGCATATAAAAATCCTAGTGGGCTTATTAAACGATTCTTCCCCAATATGTATCATAGCGAGATACAAAAAAAAGAGAGTCTCTATAGATTCACTCGAGACGGAGATCGCGAGTCTTTCAGGGTCTCGTCCTATACAGTCTTGACGGCGGAGGCTGCGACGGTAGCAGCAGCAGCAGCAGTGGCGGCGGTCGCGCGGGCACCATTCCGCTGCCGCCGCCGACCGGAAACATGCCCAGACGCCGGCACTCTGGCAGCGTGTCAACATACCGCGACGTCTAGTGCCTAGCCCTCTGTACGGCCGCCGCGTCTAGCCCACGCGGCCGCCAACTTTAGCCCACATTGTCGTCGCGACGCCGTTTCCAATTTCTTCTCCTCTCCCGCCGCCCCCGATAGTCGCCACTCGCACTACCGCAACTACGCGTCGCGTGACCTATCGTCTTCGCCGAAGGCTCGACTAGAGCGGGGCTTTCGCGTCACGATTACGCGTACATTACGCTACACAGATGGACACTGCGTATACGATCATATTATTAGTATTATATTATGATGATATGGATACAGCGAAAAAAGTTCGAGGAGACCGAACCACGAGGATATAATATAATATAACGCGAAAAATTAATAATACGATACGAGTCCGATACGACCGGGACAAGGTTATTATGATATATTATTGTCACGATGATATAATATTATTATTGTGTATTTAAGACAGCGGTACTCACGTGTGGTTGACGAAAGGCATACAGAGACTAGCAGGAGGAAATTGAACATGGTGAACGTGGCGGCGCGGTGCAGGCTTTGTGACGACCCGCCGCCGCCGCCGCCTTGCCGCCTCACTGCTTCTTCGGATTCCGCTGTGCGTCTCCGACCTGTGAGCGAAAACACAAACACATTGATTCATTAGTCATTACACTCATTACACTCGGCGCTCGCGCTGTACATTTTTATAATAATATACGAATCATATCATATCAATATATCATATTACACTTGTGATGAAATATTATAGCGTTTTCCTTCTGTTCAATTTATTCAAACTACACTCCAACCCTGATATTATAACCCAAGAGTGTATCTTATATAGTGACATCGTATCATTCGCCACACCGTCAAAATGATGCACGGTGTCGTTTTTCTCTACGATCTTATAAATAAAATGTACATTACACCATAATAGTATTATGGAATACGCTATTAGTTTTCATTTGTTGATAACATATTATATCGTAATAGCATAACATAATATAGTAATATACTATAGTATGTACAAAAAGTGTTAACTTTCCGATGAGGGGGTAGGGGAGACACCAAAATCTGTGCAAGGGCGACGACGATGGGTAAGGTTGTGTATATAAAATACGCGAGCGCTCGCGCAGAGATATTAAAGTAATATATTATATTATTATGGTGCGCGGCGGCCGCCGGCGATGTTTTTAAAAGGTACGTCGAATTAACCGAGTGAAGATAATTGAGGTGCCCACCGCCACCGTTGCTTTGGATTACACCACACTTCCTTTTTATGCTCATTGTCAGTGAAAGCATGTATAATATAATATTATTAAACATCGGGTTTTTATCGGAAACGTCACGCTCGTAAATGATTATCACAGTTTGTACGTACAGTGATATTAAATTATAATTTATAATATACACCACCGCCGCCGCCGCCGAAAACGTCATCGATACGCATTTTTCTTGTCTCTCGGCGACAGAAGAGGGAGGCGAATGGGGGCGATTTACTTTTCGTTTATTATAATGACGATAACATTTTATATTGTTTTCTTTCTATCTGCAGCACCGGTGCGGCGAACGAACGTGAAAACTCGGCGATATTGACCGGACGCACACTCGCGTGATTTCCACGGGTTTTCTGGGTCGGTAACACGACGACGACGACAACACGCGTCGTCGTCTTCGTCGTCGCCGTAGTCGTTTGTGTATTTTGAAATATGGGTTATGTGCGCGGCATGGAATCCGGCATGAAATTCGCTCGCGTTCCGGTTTGCCCTCCCGATATTATATTATCGCGTTCGGCGGTGCGCTGAGAGTGTAAAATATCGTGTGTGTGTGTGTGTGTGTGTGTGTAGTATAATATAATATTATGTGTCCAACACTATAATACGCGTACCACCGGCAGACGGACGGGCACGTGATTACAATCGGGTCATAACAAGTCTACGCCGCGCGCCGCCACCGATCGTGTGCCAACGCGTATATTATGTGTCTTCGCGCGGCATATTATAATACGTTATTATTAGGTATAATATTGTATACATATTATTATAATATTATAATAATATATAACATTCGATTTCTCTCTCCTCTCACCGAAGTCCGATACGCCGGGTGCCGCGTTCTCTCGCGCGGTCCGCTCGCCGCGGCGCACCGTTATTATTTTTGATAACATTTCATTTCGAGATCCACCAAAAACACTAGCGAATGTTGAGAAGATCTGTCAACAGTGTCCCCGGGCCTGAGCTATAGAAGACGGCGAGAGCGGAATACGTCGGGGATAGTGGTAAAAAAAAACCCCGAAGTCGACTTCCTTTTGTTTTTTTTACCCCCACAGCGGCTGGTAGCCGGTTGTTTTGTACGGATTCGTTATATAGAAAAATAACGTGGTTGTAATACGCACATGTACATAGGTATATCGTATATGTACAGGTACGCACATACACACATATAAATACAGATGTATACGCACGCACACAGACGCACACACAATATCGAAGATGAAAAATGGTGACGGACGACAGCTGTCTTGCGTGGGAAATTAAATACCTGAGGAAAGGAAGGTTAATTGACCCTGGCCAAAGGTGCAACGAACCCCCACCACCGCCACGGCAGCTACCACCCAAGCACTACGACGACGACGCGCTACAATTTAATAATAATAATAATAATAGGTAGGTATAGATAATAAAATATATAATGAATACACAACGCCGCGGCCGCGACTACTCGGATAAAAACACTGCGAATGATTATTTGGCGAATTATATCGGACCTATCCTCCTGCAGAGTCTGCACACCACCTTAATATATATATATATATTATATTATAGTCGCATATTGTTCGTCCCACAGACGAAGACAGTCGTGACGACACGGTCCGGTTGACAATTTCAGTAATATAGTAATGGTTGCGCCGAGTTCATCTTTTGCCCAGTGTTTTGTTGCAGTTGTACTTTTTTTATATTTTTTTAATAATAATACAGATGTATTTACGAATTGTCTCTGTATATATACACATATTTTTTTATATTTATTTATTTTTGGTTCACCATCCGTGACGTTACCGCCGATGGACCTGCCTGCAGTGGCGCAGCAGCGGCAGTGGCAGTGGCAGTGGCAGTGGCAGTTCTTCCCCCGCGATCCGCGCCGGTTGGCTTTCATAGTTTGGTTTAAAACACAGAAACTGTGAGAGAGACAGAACGAACGCAGAAGTTGTATAATATATATTCACACAATCTGGCGACAATGATGAAACAAAAAGGACCGTTTTTTTCACCAAAAAATAGTCGAGGTCAATAATCTTTTTCAAACGTTTAAAAATCGTGAAATTATTTAATTTGGAAATTCTATCGTTTACATTCGTTTAGCGCACATCACGTACTTATAATATACACACAGTGGATACATGTCATAAATGAGAACTAATAACTCTCTCGGTTGCACCATTGATTGGCTGCGTTGGAGGTCCGTTGACCTTGAACCCGTTCCGCCGAGAAGTCTTCCTTTAACAGAATTTCCTATTTAATCGCCGTGTCCATTGTAAAGCTGTTTAACGTTGCCATTTTTTTCTTTTCGAAAATATCGCTCTCTCTCCGTAGTAAACTTTACCGATCAACAAGTCATTAAAACACATAAACGTAATAAAATAACGAATTGTGCCATTATTTATTTTCTCTGATAGTCACACACTCACACATCCTATATGCGGCTATATATGAGCACATCCGATTCGATTGTAAATTCATATACTTGTTTGAACATTTTTAAATTAACATTTATAAAAACAAGAGGAACAGTTTAAACAGCACAGAACCTATTGTCGAAAATGCATTCCAAATCGAGTGTCCGTAATCGGAAATCGCGAGAATACGTGCTCAGCTGTTGATTAAAGCTCTCATTGTCAAAACATTTCGTGTGCCGGATGCTTCACATAAAATCTAAGCACAGTAATAACTATATTATGAATCTTGTCTCAATGAATCATACATGACGAAAAACTGGACATATATTTTACTAATTGATGTACCTAATAATAATAATATTTGCTCATATTGTTATCCGTAATATTTAGCATATAATATGCCATCGAATAAAAAATGAAATAATTTACGATATCAACACTTTTTAAATGATGACGATAATCGTTTTATTTTCAACTCTCGTTATTCTTTGTATCCCGAGCGTATGCTTCGCATATAATATTGCCAATTGTTTATTGTCGTTCCCTTCGTCCAACCATTTCATCCGATAAAAACATGATTTCCATTCATACTATAGAAGTAATAAGTATATTACAATGGGTACACAATATCTTTACAACGTTTATTGAATATTTTGAAGAGATTAAACCAAGCGTTTACATGCATTAGTTTTTATAAAATTAATTACGATTCTCAGTTGTAATAATATGTATTCAATTGTAAACTTTCTAAAACTAAAAAAAATATACAAAATTCCAGGAATTTCGTTCACCGTAATAGTTATTATAAATACTTCGAGTTTTATACTTTACGTTATAGGTTAGTATACCCAGGACACATAAGAGTTTACGACACAATATTATTATGAATAACATGACGCATAAAATGTATACGGATTTTTCTTAAACATATTAGCAATCGTCGTGTAACTTACTTATCTTAAACAATATAATAATAACCTTGGTATGTGAAAATGTACGGATAGCTACACATAATATATCATACAGTTTTTTAACACTGTTCAGTTGTACAGATGCGGCCCATACATTTTGAGTGTACCGACCGACTATATTATGTTCATAATTAAGTCAGATATCAATAGATCTAATTACGCGGACGCAAAAAATACTTTCTCCGCGGGAATAATTAAATGTCTAGCAATGCGGAAACCAGCCAGTGAATCACGTATGTGCAGTGTGCCAACAAGAATTTTAAAACACCAGAATATTTTTATACAAATGGCTTTTGTTTTAGGCCCTCCGAAAATGAAAAACAACCCTTCAAGTAAAACAAATTCCGGTCAAATTAGCCCCGTTCACATTAAAGTCGTTATTTGATTCGGTGGTTCGTTTATTATTTTCGGTTGACATCATTGTTTTTCCCCTTGACACAGCATCACCCCATTACTTTATTATATGTGTGCAATAATATATGTATAATGTATATAGGTTTATACACTATACATATTATATATACCTATGTATATATTAACCAACCGCAGGCGGCTGGTATTTCGGTGATATTGCTTCATATTAAATATTTCAATGAACGAAATATTATCCAAATCTAATGCAATATACGATTTCGGTAAAAATACTTTAGATTTTATCTAGACGAGAAATATTGATAAAATTGCAATTTATAAAAATAAATACGCTATCGGTTATCATGCATGTTCAATTACTGACGTCGTACTTAAGACGGTTTCTATAACAGTGAATGGAAATAAAGACAACTCAACGAAATATCTCTGAGAATAATGATAATAATTTAAATAAAAAATGCATAATATGAATAACAGCGGTACGTTGATATAGGTACATCGAACAGAAAATGGAAATGCACACATCGGGTCACATGCACACAACACTATAATCTCCCACTCTCCTCATAATTAATTAAATTAGCGACGGCGTATTTTATCAAAATAACGTATAATATCATATCATGTGATTACCTGAATGCCTGGCGAGAAATAAATAAAAGCCAGAGTACACCGTAGACCAGCAGGAGCCTTGTGGCATATTACAATCCGTTTCGTTTTCGATTCGCTCTACCATCGTCGATTTTCGAAATCTTGTCGTCTCGGTTCTGACTTAGGTTTCTCAGAGTCCTTTTCGACGTTCAGGAATCTAGTCCTGTGATAGTAAGAACGTATTCTAACATCGCTTCAGACGTAATTACATCGTTAACGACAAACACACGCGAACCTTACGCACTACATCACTGTACATACGCCACTGATTGTGTTTTTGAGAACGGAAACACTATGATGTTATTATATTATAGGTAGTATAAGAATGCGACAGTGTATAATACTGCAGTTTCGGTGAAGAAAAACGACACGGAGTTTTTTTAAGCGCACTGCTCACAGAGAACGGTATGATTCGACGAAATTAAAAAAAAATTAAACGTAAAGACAAAATAATTTACTCACTGTAGATTAAAACGAAAAGTTAGTTGAAAAATGGTTTTAAAAAAACTGCAAATAAAAGAAAATTTTTGCGTTTAGCTATTCATTAAAAAAAAAAACACTCCAAATCACGGGCGGAGACAACCGGCACACTTCTTCCGCAAAAACGTACGTTTTCAAGAATAACTCGTTTCGCTCGCAACCGCGAACTTACCGGATCGGGGTTTTCACTCGGGCGTGAGGTGATAACGGCAGAACCCAAATAGACCCGATTACGGTGCACGTCATGTTTTTAATTTGATTATTATACCACACATCGAATGTGTTACCGGCGCACGTGGGTGTGTGTGATAATAAATTTTTAATAAATGAATAGGTAAATAAATATAATAATAATATCGTACTCGGCACCTGAACCAGATAAGATTACGCGGACAGAGAGAGACGACGAACGGCCGACCGAGCAACGAACCTTCGACTGACGTGCGTGCGTGTGTGTGTAGTCGTGTGTACAGGAGGGACGGTGCCGCCGCCGCCGACGCCGTCAGCCGCCGGGCCAACCGGCTCACGACCGCCGACGACCGTGCCCGAACCGGATACGCGCCGCCGGGCCATGCCTCGTTTTTACTACCCGCACGCCACCGCGCCGGTGGTTATGATATTATTATTATATTATTTATACGCGCGCACATAAATCAACCCTTCGGGAATGTGCGAATCACCGGTAAATTATTATTATTATTATTATTCAAATATCTTACATAACATAAATTGTATAATCAGATTTGTATGGTACACCTATACAGTACACAGCCCCGGGACTGTTTACTCTCGAGTCTCGACCGCAACGAGCAGCGTGTGAAATTATGTCAGAGCGTTATAATTTACCCGTAATATAATGTTTTATTAATATCGTAGCACTGAGTTGTATTTGTTTATAATTTGTTTTGATGGTATTAATGACTCGTACTTATACTATACAATACGGTGTAAATTATTTTGAGTATTATTGTGTTATCGATAATGAAAATAGTGTGGGTTAGTAGTTTTGACTCGTAAGTATTTGTCTTTCGTAGGTAGTCAAAAAATGGAAATAACAAATATAACCTAACCTAACAAAAGTAACTCGTTAAGTTGAAAGTTAATAAAAAAATGTAACTCGTTGGTCATTAGGAAACTCAATTAAAATTGACTTAACTTTTTAACTGGTTAATGTCGCCGCCCAGTATATACTTGAGTACTTGACCGAGTATAATCTATAAGAACAACGTTTGTAGAATATAATATGATAACAAATCGTTTTGTTTCGTAGATATAGAGGCGCGGCGCGTGCCTAGTAAACGACGATTAGTCGTATTGAGTTTTACTAAAACATAATTAATAACCGTTGTCATTACATGCACGATAAAATTAAAATAGTTTTGTATATGTTTTAATCAATTTATTATACGTACACGAAGAAAAAAATAAAAACACGAAACGGCACTAAAGAAAACGTGTAAAAATTAAATACGGAATTCGATTACAATCACCCACCGACGACCTGGCGCGGCGGTGAACGATTAACTTGTTTAGACCAGTAATGACGAGATAATCCTCGATAAACGTTATATAAGTAGTTATTACTACTTACTAGGATGGGTGACCGTCTAGGATTTTTTATCTGATACTGTGCCTCCTATACCGTACGAATATATTAATCGATTATAGCGGTTTACTGTTTACAGTTGATACATATTAATTAAATAGATGTTTTAAATTGGTAATTATTTAAAATAGTTGAAAAAAATAGCTTACACAAATATGGGTAAGTACTAAGTACTAAATGTCTAAATAGTAAATACCTAAATAAATGATCGACTATCGTGTGTCGAATATTCAATTATTTACTTTATTTACTATAAACTCTTACAAGTATTACAGCAATAATGAATAATATTTAAAAAATATTTAAACGATTATCTCTGCTATAAGCAAATAAATTATAGAGTAAACAATTTTTTTAATATGAGTAATACAATTTTTTTCAAAAATGTAGTATTTTTTTTTAATAACTAATAAAATGAATAAAATCACCTCTTTTGTCGGCATCCTTGTGCTTTAAATTAATGTTCATTTCAATCGCAAACACTTCAATATCAAACATTATACTTAGAATGTACGTATGAGAATCACGAGAAAAAAGACGAATCATATAGAAAGAAACATTCGTAACTGTTGTTAATCGGAAACTGAACTGATATCGCTTTTTTAAGAATTTCCCCAAATGTCCTGCGCATTTTGACTTCCCACCACACACGATTTATATGATTCAATAGAAAAAGAAAAAAATGAACAAATATGCGACCCAAGACCTCGACTATAGTTTGTGGGTTTTGTAAAAAAACTTCCTTCACAGCTTGACCACCACATTCATCCCTAATGACATGCGGTATACCTATATACCTATACAAACGATGAGACTGTTTGAAAATAATATCTTATGTAATAAATAATAATATTTATCAGTCTATTATAATGATTCCAGAACTTCAGCACGTAAAAAGAAAAACTAAATACTGAACACACGCAGTGGTGATGCAATTGTAAATAAATAATCCTATACTTGGCCATTCGACCGGAATATTCGATCAAATGTTCAAATTATTTAAAAAGAAGTCAACAACAATAACTGCCTATATAGTGTACTAATGTTGTTATACCACATAAAAAAAGGTAGCTTATTCCACAATAAAATGACATCATTTTCTCTGTTAGGCCACAAAAATTACCCACGGAGGTATTTATATGACACTTTAAAAATAATCCAAATATATCTCTATTGTCAATAGTATAATATAAGAAGCGTTTTGCACCCACGCACAATATGTATGGTCAAATTAAAAAATCCTACTGTTATATACCTACTATATTGACAATAATAAGAAGTGGAAATGCTTCTTAACATTATTGTTATAATATTTTTTTGTGCTCAAGCCCCATGTCAATAATACCGTTTCGTGTCCACGATCTAATGATCCGGACACAGCATCTGCTTTTATTTCTATCGTATGGACACGCATCGAATGAAATTGGACTATTATACAAATCTCGTCCACGCGGCAATATTATTAAATACCAGTGTTCACTCTAGTGAGTAGTTTCATCGATTATTGTGCCTGCAGTCTCGTATAATATTATGGTACTCGTTTATAATAAGGCACCATGTGTGATTATTGAAACATAACGAAATTTCATGTATGAGCGAACTCGTGGTTAAAGCAAAGCAAATTAATATTACTGACTCATGGAAGCACGATCGTACGTGTGTATAATATTTTATCAAATCCAATCGTTTTATCATAATATATACCAGTGATCAATATATAATTATTATATACCTAACACTAATGTTTACAGTTCAATATATATTTTCTGTTAAGGTTATACGATGTAATAAATTACTTTTTAAAATAATAATTACATACGCGCATATAATTAAGTAAATATATTGCACTTGCAGTTATGTATATAGGTAGAACAGGAAAAAATAATGTTTATTATGATTTTTAGGTACTTATTCCATAACATTATTCTAGAACACCAACAATATTCAATTGAAACTGCGTATACGTTTAAATAAAGGAAAACGATCTAAAATTTATTTTATTTCGATTGGAAAATATATACAATGACAACATCAATATCGAACAACATGGTTGAAGTAACTATGGTTGGGAGTTTGAACGATTACGGGTATGCGGTTAAACGAAATTTATTTTTTATAAAAAACATTACACCTGATATCATCAACATCGCGCTGCCAATAATTGTTGAATACCTAATATAAATCCGAAAATTTTGGGTGTCACGTTTTGTCGGTAGGTGTACAACGCCAACATATAGTAAAACGTATATGATCTGATGTATGAGTAACACTGTACAATGATTGCAATGATAAATATAATATATATATACGCATATGGCAATTAATAACTGTATAAATGTAATTTAGTTTTACGAGCTCCCACGTCAACAGTGTAAGAATCCACGTGTCCGAATTGCGACACTCATAATAATATACTTGTGTGTCACATAGACTTTGTTAAATTGATAATTTCCGGAGAGTGGAAGAAGTTTATGCGCCACTTGTGTACGTCTCGGAGCGATTTTACGGAGTACTCGATAAGCATTGGTTATTGAATAAGTATAGATGTCAACAACGTTAATAACGTTATAATGCTATAATATATCAATAATTTAATTCAACTAAAGCTGACAAGTCGGCGACGCACTACATAGAATAATATATTGTTATATTATATTTAAACAAGATTATAGAGGCGTTATGGAGGTTACGATCATTACCTATATGTCGGCTCAATGTGTAAGACTGAAGGGCCGGCGGCTCGGCGGTGGCTCTACACAAACGACCGTTTTACTATTATTATTTTCTATGGCTGCTTTCGATTAACGCGCCTGCAGCAGGTAAGTCGCGTAAAAGGGTCGATTTCGTTGCGTAGATGTAGGTACAGTGTATGTGTACACACATAATGTACGATCGAAACACATATTCGATTCGTCCGCACCTTTTATACGTATACAACATTGAACACGCTTGAGAACGATACAATATCGATGTATTATGCATAGGATTATTTAAAAATA